TAGCTTCAGAGGAGACCAATGATGAGTTTTAGGTAAAGAACTTAAGTTGAAAAGAAATGAAAATATGTATTCGAGTTTCTGGTTTTGGGAGGTTTTGTGCTTCAGAGGAGCATATGTTTCTTGGCTATTCAAATTTGGATTTTAGTGCAGAATGCTTCTCTATTTATAATATAATGGGACGAGGTCATGACTTGAGTGAAATCAGATCCCAAACATGTGAACAAATTGAGAATTTTCTAGATCCAAGTGTGTGAGAATTTTGCACGAAATGTGTGACTTGCTGAGCTCGTTCATGTTGTTTTGCACTTGGTGAGATGAGTTTTACAATCACAAACAAGTTTGCACATATTTTATGGTCCCCAAGTTAAATTTTAGGTCATTTCTAAAATTGTTGGTCACAGTAAAAACAAAGTTGAAACCTCTCACTTCCAATTGATGCCAAGTGAAATCCCCTCGTGCGTTTTGTGAATTTTCTTGAGCCAAATGTTCCTTTAATTGCAAGGAAGACAATGTAAAAATAATCAAATAAATTGGATACTTGATAAGAAAATGGCAAGATTGGAAAGTTAAGGAAAAACCACTACAAATTAGGTATGGCATTAGGTCAAACAGATCATGACCCAGTTTTGTCCAAAAAATGACCTATAATGTTTCCACACTTTTGATGGTCTTCCAAGAACAATTAGCTCTTGACTTGTGAAGAGAAGTTAGAAATGATGTCAAGATGAGTCATTTTCCTAAAGAAGCATTCAAAAATGTGGAAGCATGAAGAAGTTGTGAAGTCTTGAACTTAGGCTTGAAATGTTAGCTTTTTGGTCAAACCTCATTGTATAAACTTGCAACCTTGAGCGTTTTCTTGCATTTCAAGGAAAATTGATGATTATATAGACTCAAAATTATATACTCTTGATTGTTATTTGATGAAACATACAATAGCTTAAGGGAACTTCATGATGAAGGCATGGAAATAAACACATGAACTTTTGACAATTTATTGAGAAACAAGCCATCCAATCTTAAGATATCTTTGATCAAATGAAGTTGAATGATGCTTGAGAATCCATGATTTGGGATTAGAGGCCATGCTTTGATGAATAACCTTTAAATATCAATGGTTGACCATACTTTGACTTAAGGAACTCAAGCCCTAGCTGAGGATACATTGACTTGATGTTCTTGATTCCAAACCATGCCTTGTAAAATAAACAAAAGGAGACAAAACATATTTTTTCATTTTTATTAGAGGTTAGTAAAATATAAAGCATATAAGTGCAAAAAGAAAAGATACACAAAGATGTGCTTGGTGATCTCTACAAAGGCAAACCCAAAGGTGAAAGGGTCAGAGACAACAAAGTTTGTGATCTTGATGCATTGTAAAGATGCAAATGAGGTGGGTTCTTAGGAGTAAAAATTAGGGTATGACACATACGTCATATCGATGTGAAATATGCATTCCTGAATGACTCCTTAGATGAAAAAGTTTATGTTGCACAACCAGCTGGATTTGTGAAGCAAGGCGGAGAAAGCAAGGTATACAGACTGCATAAAGCCATGTATGGACTTAAACAAGCTCCAAGAGCTTGGAACAAGAAAATATATGATTTTCTAAGAGAGAAGGAATTTGTGAAGTGCATAACTGAGCATGAAGTATACGTAAGAAGAAGCAATAATGAATTACTTATAATATGTCTCTATGTCGATGACCTGTTGATAATAGGAAGTTGCAAGAAGGAGATTGAAGACTTAAAACATGACTTAAGTGAGGGGTTTGAAATGTCAGACTTAGGAAATTTCTCATAATTCCTTAGTATCGAATTCGAAGAGAGTAATGGAGGTTTAATAAAGCCATGTGTGAACTTAAACAAGCTCTAAGAGCTTAGAACAAGAAAATAGATGGTTTTCTAAGGGAAAGGGAATTTGTGAAGTGTACAACTGAGTATGGAGTATACGTAAGAAGAAGCAATAGTGAATTGCTTAAACTATGTCTCTATGTCGATGACCTCTTGATAATAGGAAGTTGCAAGAAGGAGATTTAAGACTTCAAACACGACTTAAGTGAGGGGTTTGAAATTTCAGACTTAGGAGATTTCTCATAATTCCTTGGTATCGAATTCTTTAAGAGTAGTGGAGGTTTAATGATGCGCCAAAGAAGATATGCAAGCGAAATACTCAAGAGACAAGTATGCCAGGCAAACAAAAATAAAGAAAGTAGGGCAAAATTTGGGATATGACAATAACAAACATGATTTAAAAAGAATGAATCCAACTAATTTTACCTATTCATCCCAAATATGTCTGACAGTATGGGCCAGGTAAAGAGGCAGTAGTGACAAGTATGCCAGGCCTCCTCCAAATCCCTGTATTGCATGGGGTGTCTTAAGTACATGTGTTGCCTCTTGTGCCTAGGGTGCCTTAGGTACCTATAATGTCTGAGGTACCTCTCGTGACTCGGGTACCTATACTACCTTGGATGCCTGAAAATGTGAATCATGTCTTCTATGGGAAGATGTAGGCAGATATGCATGAGTAGGTGACACTTGTCTCCTACAAGAAGAAGAAGCCAGAGATACATGAGCTCCAGAAGCAGAAGATGGAAATACACGAGCCCCAAAAATTGACACGTCTGCATCAATCAATCTAGAGGTAAAAGGAGCTTGCGATTACTGACTTTTCCCCCTCTGAATAGATGCATGATGTGCAATCCTGTCGTGCTTTAATCGATCTTGACTATCATTCATAATTCTTGTAAGTAAACCACACAAGCGTTACACAATATGCACAAGCACAAAAAGAAGAAAAAAAACGCACATTGAAAAGCTCCGAAGATGCATCTCCGGTTTTTGAGAATCAAAATGTTGGAGATGTATCTCTAGAATTTTCTACAACTCTCATCAGCGTCAACAACGCTAATGTAGTCCCCCAAATGAGCAAAAATAGTGCATTGATCAATAAAGTACTTATCAAATACGTTTTCCTTAATGTATAAACTATCAAAATGTATAACCTATGTATTTCATAAACTAAACATCAATTTATATAAATTTATACAAAAACTCAAAAACATTTAGAAAATTCAAAAACTTACAAATTTTGAGTTTATTTCGGTGTTGAATGAGCTTTTTGATGGACTTAATATTGATGGAAGAAACTTTTAAGTTGGTTGAATGATTTTGAGATAATGTGAGTTGAGTTTGATGGAAGAAAGTGTTTTTTTAGAAGTGAGGAAGGAGAAAGGGTTCTGGTGCATTTTGATTAAGCATCATCTGGAGATGCATTTCCGTAACGTATACAGAGATACATCTTTGTAATACTTTTTTCACATAAACTTATTGTCTAATTCAAAAAAGTATTAACTTAAGATGCACAAGAGATATATCTCTGAATTTTAAAGTATTATTATATTGACTTAATACCTCTTTTGATCCCTTAACTTTAGTCAATGCTTCTCTTTAGTTCCTCAACAAAAAAACGTTACATAGTGGTCCATTAACTTATACTCCGTCACATATTTTAGTAATTTTTGTTAGTTTTTGCTGAAAAAACGTTAAAACTTGCTTCGCTGGACTTTTAATGGCTGAGTTGGAATATTTTTTTTATATTGATTATCTTTCCATAAACATCTCAATTCCAAAAAATTCTGTAGTTGAATTTTCAACCCCAGTTATTGACAAACTCTTAAAAGTACATTACTGAAAATTCATCAAGTTCTTCCTTCAACTCTTCCACCACCACAGTCTTCTCTATTTCATTCCATTCTTCTTCTTCTTCTTCTTCTTCTTCTTCTCTTTCTTCTTCATTTTCACAATAATGTCTCAGTATTTTAACAATTGGTTCATAACCTAAAAATATTTGTTCCTTCATTTTACACGAAAATTAACGAAAATTTTCAATTACTCAGCATGACCCATCAACAAATCAATCTAAAAAATCATATTTTTTTTATCAGCAATAGTTCTCAATAAATAATGAGGAATCTAGAAAAGAACTAGTTTCTAAAATCCAAGAAAAAAATTCTTTATTTTTTTACCAGACCTAAGACAAAAAAAATGTATTTTTTTTTCAAAACGCAAATTAAAATTAAGATGAAATATCTTAATCCCTAAACCTAAATGGTTTTGAAATTAAGTTTAGTAACTGAGTCAGTTTCAAAATGCATAAAAGGTGTAAATATAGAAAAGTTAATTGAGAAAGAGAAAAAGTTGTGAACTTTGAGATGAAAATAAGAATTTGTGGTTGTGAAAAAAACATGAAGTGAGATTAGTGAATATAACTATGTATTGTTTGAAAGACAACTATTTATGAAGTATGGTGTGATTAGATGATAGAAGAAATATTTGGAGGTTGGAAAAGGAATCCATGTGGAGAAGAAAATGGAAAATGAATCAATTTGGGGATTGAAGCATTACTTGTAATCTTTGATATTGAACTCTAATTAAAAAAAAAAAAAAATAGAAGATGAAAGATGGTGATTTGACTCTAATTGGGAAAAGAAAATGAAAGATGGAAAAATTCAATTTACAATTTGTTTACATGACGTCCCACCTCAATCATAATTAACGTTTTTTTCACACAAACTAATGATAGAGACTAAATAATTTAATGAAAATGAAGTTAAGGAATCATTATGTAACGTTTATTAACTTGAAAATCAAAACTAAACTTCGCTCAAAGTTAAGATATTTAAAAACTAATCATACCTATTATACTTTATTCAGGTGAAGAAATTTCCTTTATGTCATAGCCTTGCTATATGAGCATATTTAATGTCAATTTTCATTGTGTTTATTATTTAATCTTTAATAATAAACTAGCATTCTATTATAATTTTGAAAACAATAGAGCTCTTGAAAAAATTGTAAATTAAGGTCAAATTTTTCTAAAAAAGTTTTTTTTCTCATCCCTTAGAAGATATTTTTAGTTGAAAACTTTCTATGAAGAACAATGAATCCAAAGAACTTGTACATTTTTCAAGAATCAAGTGTGAGAGAGATTGAAGAACAATGAGCTCTAACATCTTATCAGTTCACACTCCACCACTTCCCAACCTCTCAAAATCAACTCCTTTGTACCAAAGAATCTACATCCCACACCATGTCTACACACACCCATCAGCTATACTCTTAGAACTCTGCACTTCCGTGAAAGAGCTTCATCAAATCCTTCCCCTCATCATCAAAAACGGTTTCTACAACGAACACTTGTTTCAAACAAAGCTCGTAAGCTTGTTCTGCAAATTTGGTAGCATGGATGAAGCATCTCGTGTGTTTGAGCCTGTGGAACAAAAGTTGGATGTTCTTTATCATACTATGCTTAAAGGGTATGCAAAAAACTCAACTTTATATGATTCTTTGAGGTTTTATAATAGGATGCGGAATGATGAGGTTAAGCCTGTTGTTTATGATTTTACTTATTTGTTGCAATTGTGTGGGGAGAATTTGGATCTTGAAAAGGGTAGAGAGATTCATGAGATGGTGATTGTTAATGGGTTTGAGTCGAATTTGTTTGCTATGACTTCTGTTGTTAATTTGTATGTGAAGTGTAGGAAGATTGATGATGCGTGTAAGATGTTTGATAGAATGCCGCAAAAGGATTTGGTTTCTTGGAATACCGTTGTTGCGGGGTATGCGCAGAATGGGTTTGCTAGGAAAGCTTTGTGGTTGGTTTCGGATATGCGGGAAGCTGGTCAAAAGCCGGATTCGATTACTTTGGTTAGTGTTTTGCCGGCTGTGGCGGATATTAAGGGATTGGGAATTGGAAGGTCGATCCATGGTTATGCTATTAGGTCGGGATTTGAGTCGATGGTTAATGTTTCGGCGGCACTTTTGGATATGTACTTTAAGTGTGGATCGGTTGAGACTGGGAGATTGGTTTTTCGGAGGATGAGTAGCAAGAATGTAGTTTCGTGGAATACTGTGATTAACGGTCTTGCGGTAAACGGAGAGTCTGAAGAGGCGTTTGCGACTTTTCTGGAGATGTTGGACGAAAAGGTGGAGCCTACGAATGTTAGTATGATGGGTGCTTTATATGCTTGCTCTAATTTAGGCGATCTTGAAAGAGGGAGATTTGTTCATAGATTATTGGATCAGACGAAACTTAGTTCAGATGTCTCAGTTATGAATTCTTTGATATCTATGTATTCGAAGTGTAAGAGAGTTGATATTGCAGCATCCGTATTCGATAATTTGAAAGGGAAAACAAACGTCACATGGAATGCCATGATATTAGGTTATGCGCATAATGGTTGTGTGAATGAAGCTTTGAATTTGTTCTGTACGATGCAATCTGAAGGCATTAAACCCGATTCCTTTACATTCGTGAGCGTGATCACTGCTATAGCAGACTTATCGGTTATCCGCCAGGCCAAGTGGATTCATGGACTTGCAATGAGAACAAATATGGACAAGAATGTATTTGTCGCCACTGCTCTTGTTGACATGTACGCAAAATGCGGAGCCATCGAAACTGCAAGAGAGCTTTTTGACACGATGCAAGAACGACATGTGATAACATGGAATGCAATGATCGATGGATATGGCACACACGGACTTGGCAAAGCAGCTCTCGATCTCTTTGATGATATGCAGAAGGAAGCTTCTATTAAGCCAAATGATATAACATTTCTGTCTGTTATTTCAGCATGTAGTCACTCGGGTTTTGTTGAAGAGGGTCTCTACTATTTCAAAACCATGAAGGAGCATTACGGCTTCGAGCCTTCAATGGATCACTACGGTGCCATGGTTGATCTTCTTGGTCGTGCCGGAAAGCTAGACGATGCTTGGAATTTTATTCACGAGATGCCTATTAAACCAGGGATTACCGTTTTAGGTGCAATGCTAGGTGCTTGCAAAATCCATAAAAACGTCGAATTGGGTGAAAAAGCCGCAGATATGCTATTCGAGCTGGATCCAGATGAAGGTGGTTATCATGTTCTGGTTGCAAACATGTATGCCTCTGCTTCAATGTGGGACAAAGTGGCTAAAGTAAGAACAGCCATGGAGAAAAAGGGCCTCCACAAAACTCCTGGCTGCAGTTTAGTTGAATGGAGAAATGAAGTTCACGCATTCTACTCAGGAAGTACAAACCATCCTCAATCGAAAAGAATCTACGCTTTTCTCGAGACTCTTGGAGACGAGATCAGGGCTGCTGGTTACGTGCCTGATACCAATTCAATTCAAGACGTGGAAGAAGACGTGAAGGAGCAATTATTTAGTAGCCATAGCGAAAGGCTTGCAATTGCATTCGGGCTTTTGAATACAAGACCTGGTACAACAATACACATCAGGAAGAATCTAAGAGTTTGCGGTGATTGCCATGAGGCTACCAAATACATTTCGCTCGTGACGGGAAGGGAAATTATAGTGCGCGATTTACAAAGGTTCCATCATTTCAAGAATGGAAGATGTTCTTGCGGGGATTACTGGTAAAATTATAGACGCCATTGTTACTTACTCACATTGCATTTTGATTCATTATATGAAGATATTTCAAGAAAAATGCATTGTTTGGATCAAACATTTAACCACATAATAGATCATTGTAGTTCCCTGTTGTTGAATCAGTGGCTTCTAACAACTATATGATTCAGTTGTATAATTTTTCAGGAACTAAAAAAATTAAGATTGAATATGTGACTACAACACAAGTTAATAACATAAAACAAAACAAAAATACATATATTTCATATCTCAAACTAGTGTGGTTCATGCATGATAATAAGGGAAAATTTTAGTAGGGTTTGTTCATAATTCAAAATCTTTGGTAAGAAATTATTATTTCTATAAAGACTATAAAAAGTAAGTAGGGTTTCTCCACTAAAGTTTTAAAACGATCAATGTAAAAAAGTTTATAAGTATAATCATTTAAAAATTTATTTTAATTTTATAAATAAAAAATATATTGCATGCATACTTTTTCATTTAACAATCATATATTGTAATCGCGCGTTAAAAACAATTCATTGAATCACATGTCATCATCTTATCTCGTCAAAATATTAACTTTTAAAATATATTGTTCTTCTAGAAAAATCAAGAAATACAATTATATATTCGTGTAAAACTTATTCCAGGTATTCATATATATAAAACTACTTTTTAGTCGATAAGATCGAGGCATAATGATTATTTTTATAATATTTTCTAACGGTTTCCATTCGAAAATGAATTTATATATCTGATTTTTTCCGTATTAAACGTATTAATGTATATAAAACTATTTTTTAGTTGATATGATCGAATCATAATGATTATTTCTATAATATTTTTTAACGGTTTCCATGCGAAAATGAATTTAATTATATATCCATTCTTTTTTTCCGTAATGATATTTTTTATAACAATTGATTTTAATAGAAAAAAAACATATCTTAAACATTTTGGTTGAAATGAAAAACAGAGAAAAGAATTCAAAGGCATGTAAGGAAACTAGCAAAAAGATTCAATGCATGTTCTCAGTATTTTCCCTATAAATTCACCTTCTTTCTCAACACTTCACTTCATTCTCAATCTTTTCACTCTTGAATTCAGTTATTCATTTTCCATTCTCAGAGCTTTTTCACTTCAACCAACACAAGCCATTGATTCTTGTGTTATGAAGTTGAAAGCTTTCTTCTTTTTGTTGTTTTTACATACCCTTTAGCCAAAAGCTCTCACCTTTGTGCTGAATTTCGATACCCTTTATAGTTTCTCTACAATGGCTTCTACTCCTCACTCCCTGCTCCTAGACCTGCTGAAAATCATAATCACAATCACCAAAATAGCCATAAACGCCATAGAAATGATTGGTCTTCCTCCTCTGGGAACTATTCCAACTCAAGGTTTGCACCTTTAGCTCCTGCTGCTGATATATCTGCTGCACATGGTAGTGGAAGAGGTGTATATTCGTCTGCGCCAGGATCTTTATTGGATGGCAGGAGATCAAAGCTGGCTCCTGAGTTTTCTGGCAGGAAGTCCACCAGGTATGCTGCCAAGAAACATTCTGGAATGCTGGTAATCATACACTGCCTCACAGCGAAGCTGCCAATCAGGTTCTTACTTATCTCTACAATGCTGGTAACCTTGTTACTAATATAGATAATGTTTTGATTTCAAATCAACATAGGCTATGGGAAGTTGAGGATTATATTTATATGCTTAAAGATTTTGGTAATACTGCTCACTTATTGTTAGCTGAGAAGTGTTATCAATTTATCATGAGTAAGCCAAATGGGAGGGTTGCTAAAGGCAAGTTAACCAGTGCTATGATTGGTACTCTCGGTAGGTTAGGGGAGATTGATCGTGCTATAGAATTGTTTGGAAAATCTAGGATTGAAGGTTATGGAATGACCGTGTATACGTTTTCAGCCATGATTAGTGCGTATGGCCGAAATGGGCACTTCCCTGATGCGGTAGAATTGTTCATGTCTATGCATGGCTTGGGCCTTGTGCCCAATTTGGTTACGTACAGTTCGATAATTGATGCGGGTGCAAAGGGGGAGGTGAGTTTTGATGTAGTTGTTCAGTATTATGATGAAATGCTAGCTGCTGGTATAATGCCGGATCGTCTTACTTATAATTCACTTCTTTCTGTTTGCGCCTCGAAGGGCATATGGGAAATGGCTCAAAAGTTATTGAGAGAAATGGATGGTAGGTATATTGTTCGCGATGTGTTTACGTATAATACGTATTTGGACACGCTATGTAAAGGCGGACAAATTGATTTGGCTAGAAGGGTATTCGAAGAGATGTCTTTCAAGTGCGTTTGGCAAACCATTGTGACGTATAGCATACTCATGGATGGCTATGCAAAGGCTAACCTCTTGGAAGATGCTGTACTTCTATATGAAGAAATGAAGATTTGATCTGTTTGTCTTGATAGAGTGTCCTATAACATGCTGGTCGGCATCTACACGAAGCTCGACAGGTTTGATGAAGCTGTCAATATATGCAGAGAGATGGACGGATGTGGAATTAAAACTGACGTCGTTACATACAATGCTCTGTTGGCCGGGTATGGCAGGCATGGTATGTATGCTGAAGTTAGAAGGTTGTTTGAAGAGATGAAGGCTCGAAACATATATCCCAATACACTAACTTACTCTACAATGCTCGATGTGTACACTAAAGGTGAAATGTTTCAGGAAGCGATGAATGTTTATATAGAGTTCAAGATGACAAGATTGGAGATTGATGTTGTCTTTTATATTACAATCGTAGACGCACTATGCAAAAACAGTTTAGTGGAGTCTTCTATTATGTTGCTTATTGCAATGATTGAGAAAGGAATCAAGCCAAATGTGGTCACATTCAACTCCATAATAGATGCATGTCAACAGGTTCCAGCTTTGGAGTATGGAGTTCATGGTTCTTCGCAAGCCATTGAGTATCCAAATGAACAATCATCTGCAATGCTTATTGATGGTGGTTTAAGCCGGGGGAGGACCGGATCTTGAAGATGTTTCAGCAACTTGCTTCTGAAAAAGCTGGTCATGTAAAGAAGCTTAGGACGGGACGACAAGACCTACACTGCATATTTTGGCTCTTCCAAAAAATGCATGACCTGCACATTAAACCAAATGTTGTCACATTTTCAGCCATTTGAATGCATGCAGGTAAAATACTTTGAATTTAGTTTTTCTGTTATCTTGAATTATACATAACCAATCTCAAACTATATAATTTGATCGATTTTGATGCAGTCGCTGCAATTCATATGATGATGCTGCAAAGTTGTTAGACACGCTGCTCTTGTTTGATAGCCAGGTGTATGGGGTAACCCATGGACTGTTGATGGGTTATAGGGAACAAGTATGGTTTAATGCTCAGACTCTATTCAATGAAATCATGCGAATGGATTCTTCAACTGCGTCCGCGTTTTATAACGCCCTCACAGATATGTTGTGGCACTTTGGTCAGGTATTAAAATTTTGCTAGTTTTGTAAGAAATTCACTCTTTTTTTTCATAATAATAAAATTGATTTTGATGACAGAGACGCGGAGCTCAAATGATTGTAATTGAAGGGAAAAACCGAAATGTGTGGAAAGGTGAATGGTCAATTTCTTGCTTGGATCTGCATCTGATGTCTTGTGGTGCTGGCTGTGCTATGGTTCCTGATTGGTTGCTTGGATCTTTTTCACCTAAATTTTGTATTGTTTTCATTTGATTGGATTAATGAGAAGATTGAAGTTTTAATCATAATTTGAATATATTTTGCAGCATATTAACTGGTTGGGGGAAATCACAGCAAAGTGATGGGTGATGGAACTTTGAAAAGAGCTATTGAAGCACTTCTTAACGGAATGGGATCGCCTTTTAGATTCGCTGAGCATAATATGCTCGTTCTCTACGATGTCCGTAATCATTCCCAACCTGCTGGTCCACCACATGGTTATCCAGCTTCTGGCTATTACATTGATAGAAGCTATGTAACACCGGTGTCGGCTGAGAACCTTCACCACAAATGACGGGTCTTTGCGAAAATTATGGTGCAGGTGGTGATTGTCCATTAGTTTAAGATTCTGCAATAATAAATTAAAAATAAAGATGCTAATCACATTCCAGGCTCTTTGATTATATGCAGAAGGAAGCTTCTGCTAAGCCGAATGATATAACATTTCTTTCTGTTATTTCAGTATGTAGTCACTCATGTTTTGTCGAAAACTTAAGAATTGTAGATTTTGGCAATTTCCAATATTCTGAGGAATATTCCTTTCTAACATATTTTCACCTAGTCCCAAACCATACAATTGACTGAGGTTAGGTTACCTATGAAGAATGGTATATTCCCTGATAATCTGTTTCCAGCCAATATTAACTTTTGTATCTTTTGAAACATCCCAAAAGTAGTTGGAATTTTTCCTTCCAAATGGTTATCTACCATGTTCAAGATACTCAAGCTAACTAGATTTCCTAATTCTATAGATTTTGTCCAAAAGAGCAATTTCCAGAGCAGTATTTGTCGCAATGTTGCTTTTCAAAAGACAAGCATGAACCATTTCTCCTAATGCCAAAGCACACCAATGGACACACAAACACTCAAAAAAGTAGCATTATCAAGATAAAATCTGGCTACCAACATATTGAAAACGAGATCAAGTGCTTCCTTATACCTCTCATATTGATTATAAGCATTAATCATACAGTTCCAAGCAACAATATTTATCTGAGGCATTTTGTCGAACAGGTCTCTTGCAATAATCAAACTACCATCGACAGCCTCACAGATGCGCTCATGGATGCATCTCTACGACCACATACAACCAAAGCATTCACCAGAGTAATCTCATGGGTTGATTATTGTTTCACATACAAGCAACCAAACAAGGTGGAGCACCAGAGTTCCAGCTAGGAATATTATCAAACAGTTTCTACTCAGGCTTGAAGCTATTTTACTGCTGCAACTTTTGTAAATCCATGACTTGTACTTCTGCCACTACTAATTCATAAA